ACTCGATAATAAATATAAAGAAGGAAAAAAACGAGTCAATTAAATTAGTTACAGATGATAGAACTATCACTGACCCTCAAGAGGTGGCAAATATGTTCAACAGGTATTTTACTAGCATAGGTCAATCAATTATTTCCAATATAGATATTAATATAGAAAGTGTAGATTTTGAGGAACTATCGTGTGGCAACTCAGTATTCCTAAAGGAAACCAACGCTAAAGAGGTATATGAAGTCATAGTTGCACTCAATAAAAACTCTGCAGCAGGGCACGACAACATATCCGTTGAAGAAATGATATTAATTGAAAAAAATTTCATTTCCATACTCGTTAATTTGATAAACGATATTTTCAAAACGGGGATATTTCCTGAGATACTGATGAAGACTGGAAAATTATAGACCTATAACAATTGTGTGCTCGTTCTCTAAAATTATTGAAACTATAATAAAGACAAGAATAATAGACTTTGTTGATCGTTATGTGGGATTTGATGAGTATCAGTATGGTTTTATCAAGGGTAGCAGCACTCTAAAAGCGCTACCATAGATTTCATTCATAATATTACATCGGAATTGGATATTGGTTATTGGATGGTTATTGCAGTGTTCATTGATTTAAGAAAGGCATTTGACGTCGTTGACCATACTGTTCTTCTGAACAAACTATGTTGTATAAGGGGCAAAACTTATTCTCTCATTGAGACATTTTTGAAGGAAAGATCCCAGTTTGTCGTTGTTGGTGAGAGCATGAGTGAGCATATTAAAAATAATTGTGGCGTACCACAGGGTTCCGTTTTGGGGCCCCTGTTCTATACACTGATGGTACTGTCACTGAGGCAGGCCGGGCTTAAGGGAAGGTATTTCACGTTCGCCGATGACACGGTCCTTTTGTACAGTGGATATGATTTACATTTACTGGAGAACACAGTTAATGAAGATCTCTCTAAATACTCAAATTGGCTTGCACATAATAAACTTAAGGTGAACTCTGCAAAAACCGTTTACATGCTATTTAAACAAAAAAATAGAATTTGTGGAAATATTGAATTAAGAATAAATAACTTACCCTTAATGAATGTTGCAAAAACAAAGTATTTGGGACTCATAATAGATGATAAGTTAAACTGGTCAGGACACATAGAACATATTAATGATAAAATTGTACCAATGTTAGGAGCTCTATATAGGTGTTCCAGTTACTTGAGTTTCAGTAATAGATACTTGGTTTACAATGCATATATATTGGCGAATCTTAGGTATCTGTTAATCATATGGGGTAATTGTGGCATTACTAATTTCAAAAAAATNAAAATTGCTGTCTTTTTGACACCAGGTTAGCATCATCGGAATATGAATAAAATAACTGTAGTTTTCTTATAACCCATTCCATAGATAAATTTAATTCAATTGCAGTCAGCAAATAATACACTTCAAATAATGGAATAGTATTTATTACAAATTTTCATTTCAATTGTTCAGAACCGTTATTTAGAATTTCATTAAATAAAAGCAACAAACATAATTAAAAATATTGATGAAAATGAATGCTATAAAATGTTTAGCAAATATAAATTTAAATTATTTTTTCAGAACCAAAACCCTACGTACATGTCAACAAACATGTTCTATTTGAAAATATAAACCTGTGTATAAAAACTATTTTCAATAAAAGCAGAAAACACATGTTTCAACAACATTATGTTCTGATTTTTTCAGGTACACACAGCAAATATATCAGAACTAAAACTGCAGGTTCTCTCAATAAAGATAAAAAACATTCTATTTAAAAATATAAATAAAAATAGATCAGTGCATAAAAATTTTGTTTTAGAAAAATATAAATCCCATTAATCAGGTTCCGATTTTTTTTCCAGGTACCATAGCAGGTATATCACAGAATTTCCTGGCATTCAGATTGGCCCAATCAACAAACTTGTCGCCAAGAGTAGCAGCACAAGTAATTAGCATCAAAACATCACCTTCGGCTTGATGGAGATTTTCAGGAGGTCGATTCGTCAGTCTGGTGTATACATCACATAGTTTGAAGCTAATCCTGAAAATTATTTCATTTATTTAAAATTATGATGGGAACTTTATACAGCTGTAGAAAGGCAAACTTCTAATTCGTCCCAATAAATTACTTAGAAAATCCAATGGAGTTTTTACAAAGAAAAATGTGCTATTCCTCAAAAATATGTTATACTTAATGATTTTGCCAAACATTCTATAAGTATATCTGTTAATAATTGATTAGAACTGGCTGATACTTGATGAAAATCCATATTAAAACTAATTAATAGTTTATTGTATGATTTTCACTATAAAGGGTTTTACAAAAGCCGTGACATGTGTTTCGCTATACAAAAGGTTCCTCAAGCGTAAACTGTTTACGCTTGACTAGTTGGACTCTTCGGTGATAATCAGGGATATATTAAGGGCAATTAGATCATTTAAACTAACTTACCCCGAATTGAAGCGGAATTTTTTTCGAACACCTTTCCTCATCTTAGATGGATAAGGAAATTCAGAGGTATCAGTCCTTATTTTTTGTTTCTTTGGTGTAGTTTCATTTATTTTCTGAACCTTAAGGGCCTTTTCAATACATTGTTGTTCCAACTGTTCAGCGGCACTACATAAAAGCAAATCATAATCGTCTGTGAGTTCAATAGGCACAGTCTCTTGAGATATTTTTTCTGCTCTAGTGTCTTGGAAATGAATATCTTGAAATGTAATTATAGAGTCTATACACAAAATGTTTTCTGCCAATGAACTTTTGGTTTTGTTAATTTCAGTGTGTAAAAGGGGAAAATCAAAATGATTTCCATTATGAGCAACTAAACATACTGGTTGGGGATTATGGTTCAAAAAAGCGTTAATGGATGCCACTGTTCCTGCTGAAAAACTGGGTAAGTTCTCTAGGAGATGATTCGATAAACCTGAAAAATAATATTTAATTTATCAATCAATCAATCAAAGGATACTTCATTATCTGAGGATATCTCACTTGTGTGTGTGATGAGTTCAAATGGCGTTGGTATAACCAATTTACCAGTCTATTTTAACATGTGAAATTTATATATTTTAATATTTTCAAGATGTATAATACATTCTTCCTTAGTTCTAGAAGTTAGTATTTGGTTAGTCCTAATAAGTTGTTTTGTCAAAGTTATTTTGACAATTAAAAATAAAAAAGCATTCACAATATAAAAAATACAGACAAATACTTGGGTACATATAAGTAAATTATTCAACATACATTAGAGACTTGCCAAGTTATTAATTTATATTATGAAAATACCTCTAATATATGTAATATTTCACCTATTTCTGAAATGCTTGAAGTTGATTATGTATTTTCAATAGGATTATAGCTGATTAAGATCTCAATAAGTTAGGACAGGGTATTCCTATTATTATTTTGACTGGTTCAACCAATACACCAAGTAATATGGAGTTTGATTTATGTATACCAGGCATAACTTTTCCAAAATTTTAAAAAACTATGGACATGATTTCTAAAATTGAAGTCACTGGTACTAGGTATATGTTGAAATGTTAAAAAATTTGTTTTTATTATATTGAAAGAAAGTTGATTATCATAAGACCATTCCTGAGTTTGTAGATATATCATTAGCTATTTCATTGTAGAGGATGGATTCCTCTTCTTTATGCCATAAATTATCAGCTAAAATGGTGAAATATCCTCCAATTTTAAAAGTTAAAAAGGTTATTGAAGTATAAAAAACAAGATGCCCAGGAACATATCCCTTTGGGCAGCAATCAATATTCTCAACTAAGATAATGGTAAAAATGTACGTACCTGTAATTTTTTCAGCGCCATCAGAAATTAATTTGCAGGGATTGAAACAAAAATTCAATTTGTTCTGAACTCGTGGAAATACTCCTAGTCGAATATGATTTGCTTGAACAGCAACCATACTAAGTTCAGTAATCTTTGTTTTATTATTTTCAGCAGAAGGCAAACCTGTTGTTTCCGTATCCATAAAAACAAAAGTTTTTATATCATATGATTCCGAACATGATTCATTCATCTTTCGAATTCCTCGTGAAAATGGAATAGTACCAATTCAAAAAAGTTTACAAAGCCTTGGGATAGAAAGGTACATTAAAACTAAATTGTTTTTGTTTCTTCATTACCACAGCATTTTGAGTGTTTTTATACTTTTCAATAGTTAAATAAATACTATCTTTGTACGTGGACAGTCTGTATACTAGATACTAGATTAGATACTACCCAACTACCCTTCCCAACCACACAAAAAAATTTGGTTAATAAGTAAAAAAAGTTAATAAGTCTTCTTCTTCTTCTTTTAATTTCGGTCTCAGCTTCCAGGTTTGGCGCTATTATGACTAGTACTTAATAAACGTCCGATACATATCGACATTTGGTATAATGTTGATTGGACATTCGAAAAAAATATGTTCCAACGTTTCCTCTTGCCCACATTCACAGTATGGACTGTCTCTTACTTTAATTCTGTGTAAATGCTTGTTTGTTAAACAATGACCTGTTTTCATCCTTATTATGGTTGTAATATGTCTTCTGTTTTGATAGGGAAATTGATTATACCATATTGTTTCCGGGTATTCTGTATGAATTTCGCCTTATGTAATACCTTTTGTTTTTATATCTGTTTTCCACTGGTTTCTAAATTCCGTAAATATTTTTTGTTTAAGAATAGGCAAAATTATCTTTTTATCTATTTTTGTTTCCAAAGGTATATTTAAATGTAGTTCCAAATTTAGCTAATATACCTACTTTTTCATTCCCTGTTATATTAGGAATGAAAAAGTAGATACCTATATTAACATTTTTCTTCTGAGTTTTGAGTTTGACGGAAAATGCGTTTCTCGCTAACACAGAACTATAACTTATTAGTTCTGTGCCCGCGAACCACAGCTCCACAAAAACTAATTTTTAGGTTAATTTATTTTCGAAAGGTCTGTTAAAATAACGCCCAATAGCTCGTACGACCAGTGCAATGACCTTATGTCACCCATCATTGCATTTAAATGAACCATAGAACCATACTGATGAGTGAGGGTCAGTTAGCTCGAATTATGTTCCTACGACATATCAGTTTCAGTGAATACTTCAATGAATTATATCTCCCGATGTTTATTGTTATTATAGTGAATTGGGTCGTGGATATGGCTACCTATATTGTACTACTTTCATTGGAAACATTAATACTATCGCAATATTCTAAAGTTTAATCCCGAATATCTTATGAGCCAATCTTGGATCGACAACATCATCGTTTACTTCATGGATCTTAGGATCTTACCTTATAAAACATACGCACGTTTTCGAACATCTAACTGCCTGCTCCTACTGCCTGTGAAACCGCGCATACGTGTACGTGTCAATTGTTTTTAGCGAATATGTATTTCAAACAAACTTCTAAAATTGTAATAGTGGGAATGAAAGCGGTTTTACATCGTATTTTGATCAAAGGCTGGGACTAATAATCCCCACCGGTATAGTTAGTCGCGTGTCTTTAGTCTTAGGCTGAACTCAAATAGAATATAGGCTATAGCTGCTTCTACTACTAACACAGAATTCTTCAACTACGGAAGAGAGTCAGTCATTTTGAAGTACACGATTACGATTTGTTCGCCTAGGATATAATGAACGGTCGAATGAATGATATAAAACACAAATTGTTTTTCAGTTCACGATAGTGACTCACCAACACCAACATTACAAATACCGCATTTGAAAAAAAACTAAAACTTTATGTTCTGTGGTGATATATATGGAAGAAACTGAAGCACGTCCTGGAAACATCATCTAGAAAACCTCTGTCTTATAAATAAGATGCCTATGCATTTGTGATTAATGACCAGAGAATGGACAAATATCTCTGTCTCTCTATCTGTGTTTATTGGTGCTATTATATAGGACAAATCATTGGCATGACCATTCAATTTATTTTTCAGCAGTAAGAGCTTATTGAACTTGTTAGTCAATATTTAGCTGTATAAGAGAAGGTGATAAATAGTCAGAACGTATACCGTTAGAAAGCAGTTTAGTAGTGAATTATTTCATTGAAAAATGTACTATGAGAAGATGAAAGAAAATGATAACTAGAATAACATAATGTCCATTCTGCCTTTTTAAAATACACACATTGACTTATGTGCCGACACTGTTCTGGGTGAGGTTATAAGACAAGTGTCTTATTCCGAAACTTCTAATTACACCATTGAGAATGATACTATTCCAAATAAATGATATTTTATATCGATACTCTTTTATATCACATTGTGTAGTGTTCCAATGAATGCTTTCTGTTTCAATTCCATAACGAATATTTGTAGTACAAGCTTAATAGAAAAAAAGTTATTTCTGAGGAACTCATTGTTCATATGAAAGTTTCGTTCAAGTGAAAGTAATTGTTTCAAACGGGTTTTGTCTTCTTTCTTCTGAAAATATTCCTTTTTCAATAAATATATTAACTTTGGTGACGGGTTTACATAAAATAAAAGATACGACAATTACATTAGAATATTCACTGAATTCTTCATTGAGATTCTCTATATTTGTTGTTAATGTATCTTAAAACAATTCGCGATCATTGATATAAAATAAAAAAAATATTCAATCTTCTGATGCATGATTTTTTGGTTCGGAGTTAAACATATACGTCAGTTCTTATATACACCAGGCTTACGTATTTTAAAAACACTTTATTGTGTGATTTTCACTAGACAGTTTTACAAAACGCGTATCTTAATCATTAAAACACACCCGAGGAAGCCATTGTATGGCGAAACACGTGTTGCGTTTTTATAAAACTGTCCAGTGAATATCACACAATAAAGTGTTTTTAGAATACGTTAGTTATGGATTGTCATCAACTATCGGCCGATTCCATCATAAACACCAGGCTTATAGTTGAAAAATAAAAACTTTGTGAAAATATATTTTTTAATCTGAAAAAAAAAAGAAATGAAAACTGTCCTTTCAAAGTCAAGGAAAATCATTTTTAATAGAATAAGCATTTGTTTCAAAGATGTGTCCGTATTTCAACTATTAGTCTTCAACTTCGGACACAAATCTTCGGAGCAAAAGGCGCATCAACTGGAAAGAGCCTAGAATTGCTCCATGGACACCAACTGAACTAAAATAAAGGAATTCAAAAAATTTTATTTTAGGCGATATCATTTTGTTTTTCAAACTGACATACCGATATCGATAATTATAACTTACTGTCAAGCTACTTTTCAATCTCCAAAATTCAAAGGTCTATTTTTGTTTTTGAAATTCATTTTGTCCCATTTTTTTGCAACGTTGTCTACCTGTAGTGCGTCATCGTCATCACAAAATCCGACCTTTCTTGTCGTCGATTCATATTTGCGGATTGTGAGTCATCTTTCGTAATAAAATTCGTCGGTTGTGAAGCGTCAAAAGTTGTCAGAAGTTACCGGATTCCAAAATCTAGTGCAGATTGCAGCAATTTTTATTTTTCAAAGTATATTTTGAAAATCGTATGTCCATCCAGAATCTCAACACATTTGGTAAGTTGATTTCTTGAAGGATCAGACCTCTGAAGACAAAATGGCTACTTCTAAAATCACAAGGAAATTGCATGATTTCCTCAAGAGATACCTATATTAGTTGCTTGAAAGCGACTCACACTTTATTTTAGTTGAAAAATATATATATATATTAAAATCCGCTTTTTCTCATCCGGGGTTAAATCCAAAAGTATAGAGAAGTAAATCGTCAAATAACGGTAATTATTTTCCTTTCGCTTTATTTAACCTGCATGTTCGACTTCAAATATATTGAAACACTTTCAAAAATGCATTGAAATGGATTTTGATCAAGTATTGGCCAATTCCATTCTACAACAAATTTCCTTTAAGAAATGCCCTCTTTGGCTTTCTCCTTTCCTTTACCACAAAAAGACGGATATTTTCCAAAAAAGAAGAAAACATTTCTGGAATGGAGATTAGCTTAATCAGTGAGCTGAAATATTCAGTGTACAAGTAGTTGAATTTTGATTCAGATGTATGTAAGTAATTGTTTCATGGACAGAAAAGTTTATATATTATTTAAAACATTAATTTTTAAGACTTGTCATTTTGAATGCTTTCTGATGAAATTTCGTGCACATCCACCAACTTCAGTTATATAAACAATTAGGTACTAATATTTCTTAATTAACTTGATAATGTATGTACTTCATTTATTAAGTACATACATTTCATACGTTTAGTTATTAGTTTAATTTGATTCAGGAGTACCTACGTGTGAATGTTACTATCGATTTTATCATTTTTGACCATACTCTAAATTAAATGCAATATCTTTTTTGTTATTGATTTTTTATTGTTCTTAACGCAATTCCCAAGTAAATTTCCCAATGTTTGTCATCTCTATCATAAAATTATTCCAATTTTTTTTCCAATCATTCAATTTTTCTTGGAAATTTAAGATTTTATATTACACAATCTTGTGATGACTTGTAGAATTTGGAAATATTCGTATTTCTGAAACTTGCTTCGGATTATGTACCTACTGAACAAATTCAACATTTCATTGGTGTGCTTATTTTTCAGACCCCTTTGCTGATGCAAGTAAGGGTGCGGACGATGATGTTCAAGACGGACTCGTTCATATAAGAATACAACAACGTAATGGTCGTAAGACTCTAACCACTGTACAAGGACTCTCATCTGAATATGACCTGAAGAAAATTGTTCGAGCATGTAAAAAGGTAAACTTTTTTTTTTTTCAGAGAAAAAGTTATCTTCCCCTTTCAGAATGTTGATTTTGATTTTTGCCAGTAAATTGTTTTATCCTTCAAATTTTTGCAACTTTGTTGATTTTAGAGTTCTTCAGTCTAAATCTCAAATTCAATAATATTATAATATTCATTAGGTGATTCTAAAATAAGTTCTACACCAATTGTGAAAATAGAGGCATCAACTTTTTTCCTCCCCTCATTAATTTCACAAATATCTCATTAAATACAATACACTAATTTTTGGGAAAACAAATCTGACTTTGGTACATCTTCATCATAATTCGTAAAGTGGGAATCTTTCGAAGAAAGGATGAAAAAGTAAAGCCATCAATAAAAGTTCTTTACAAAAATAAAAAGATCATACACAAAAGTTTCTTCAAGAAACAATCTGGAAAAATAAATCCAACTGCTTTCAAATATGAATTACAAGGAAATTACTTTTTCTCATTCAGTTTATACTCCAAACATTTGTGACAGAATTAAAATGAATATCATATAAAGGTATGCTACACAATGTAATATATGGAAGCATGTAAAATCTCACAAGAAAAACTTATCTTGTATTGGACTTCTAATCTTTGTACACGCCTTTGTGGGGAGTTTTAATTGATATCTTCTCACCTAAATAAATATTCCCTTTTCTCAATTAGCAATAGAGCTTCAGCAAGTATAGCCGGAATTACATTAATATGTTGTGGTGTGTTGTGATGCTCTCTGACGTGACAGCGAGTGTGCAGACTATTCTGTCGTGTCGGTGCGCGCTCTGACGTTGTTTCGAGCCAATACAGTGGTGGCCTTTGGAGTAAACGCATGCGAGCATCTACAATGCTTTCCTCCAATTCAGATAGTGATATTCAGGAAAACCGTACGTGCCTGCTGATGTAAAGTTTACTTAAAAAGAAAGAAAAAAATATTGGGTTCATCCAGTAAATTATCTGACAGGTAGTCGAAGCGAATATCGTTTACCAGTGATGAAGAAAGATTTCGGGATGTCAAAAAATCAATTTGAGTAGAGTATGATAGAAAATGATAATGAAAAAATGCAAACCCGTATTTTCTAACAAGTTCAATAAGTTCGTCCGACATCTTGTGCACAAATGAATGCAAATAACTATTCTCTAGCTAGTTAACGCGTTAGATTAGATTCATACTAGTGTGAAGTGTTCTGAACCATTCATAGCAATAATTTGATGAAACCGATACGAATTCCATGAAAATATAAGTCAGCCACCAGAAGTATGCCAAAATTCATTAGCATTGAATAGGTTATTAACTTTTGGGTATCATTAAGAGTTAACTTTTGATGATAGATTTTTTTCAATTCTTACCTGGACCTGGAAAACTCTGACATGATATATGTCTTGTTGAATCAGTAACCAGGAATAAACATACCTCATTTTCGTAGGAGTACAAAGTTATCCAATTATATATTTTTTTCAACAATATTTTAATTATTTATTCTTAGGAGTTTGCCTGCAATGGTACTGTGATAGAGCACCCAGAATACGGAGAAGTTCTTCAACTACAAGGTGATCAACGAGAAAACATCTGTCAGTGGCTTACGAAAGTAGGACTGGCCAAACCAGATCAACTGAAGGTGCACGGTTTCTAATGCGCCTCGAAGTTGTTTTTTTTTAACTATGTAAATGTCGCACTTTTATTTAAATCACGGAATTTTCAACAGCATGTGCCCAATCGAAGTTGCTGCTACGTAGCAATTTTGTACAATAATTTTATATAATTGTGCCTTTCCATAAATACATTAGTTCACAATGTTTGTGTTTTTCTTTTCATGTTGACTGTGTTTAGTTTATAATGAAATCCGATAAATAATAAATGTCTGGTCTAGTGTCTGGTGTTTTATTCAATAGTTCTGACGTCTGGATTGATGTACCAAACAAAAATACTAAGTTTCCTTGAGGTTAAACCATAGTCATCAGTGATGATAAACTGGGAAGTTATTGATGAATCGAAAAGACAGATGGATGTATTTTAGATTTGAAAAAATTCATAGGACATATTTTCTTTTGAGCAGTCTGACTTGTCAGGGATGCCAAACTTGAAAAAGGTTCGTTTCACCATAATTAAATCCAATTTGGAGTGATCTCAAAAAATTGAAGATAGACTACAGGGTTACCACTCGAAATTGTATCCTGATCAAATTTAGATGATTTAATAATAAGTTAAGCGATTTCGTATAATTCAAATTTGTCATAAACTTTCATAAGTAAAACTGAAGCTTTTTGCCTAGACGATATTTAGCTTAGACCTTATAAACAAGTCAATGGATCTTTATAAGCTGCAAAATTTACTTAAATGGTAAACACTAGTAAAATATTCGTATTGTGAAGTTAAACTAGTTACAATGTACTCAAATTTCTAGGTAAGTGCAGAAGGGCCACATATATTTATCATTAGTTTTTTGGAAATTACGACTAAACTCGAAATTTTGACTTTAAATCCCGTAATTTCGAGTTTCAAGTCGAAATTTCGGTCAATTGTGCTAACGAAAGAGGAGAAGAAATATGTAGGTAAATGTTATTAATTTTTATAGGTAGGTTTAGGGCAAGGTACAAATTTTAATCACCTCGCATTACAGAACACCTACAAAGAAAGTTTAATGTGCAGCTCCAAATCTAGAAAGGTTGACAATGCCGCAGGAAAAATAGTTCTTTGGTCAACCGTTGGTGTTGCAAAAGTTTCTACTTGCGCTCACTAGATGTAGCCACAGTGCTGTAAAACGCTGTATAATTTTCACTTTGACTTAATTCTACTAGGAAGTTGACAACGAAAACTCATTGAAGAATTCAGGAAAAGTAATTTACCTTCAATCAAATGTACTTTGAAATTAGTCAAAAACAATAATCGATAATTTCTAATGAAGGGAACATATTCGGATGTTATAACTCTTCCATGAACCCATCATGTTGGGGCCACACTAACGAGAAATGACATTAATTATCGCGATAATGGACGTTAACCGTAGGTGTAGCCACGACTTAATGCGATAATTTGACAACGGCAGTAACATTGCCGTTTCGCGTTAGGCGATAGCTCAAGTGGCGGTACATCAAAGAGATTAACGCCAGAATTAATGCGATAAAGCGGCCACACTACGTCTTTTTTTTTATCGCCAATCGTGGACTTTCACGTTGACCGTATTAAGTGTAGCCACCTACTTTGGCACGTTAAAAATTATCGTGATAATGGGCATTGACGTTAGCCGTTAGTGTGGCCCCAGAATAAGGTTTTCTATGGGTAAAATCAATAAGTGCAGGAGATATATTATATCGAAATAATAAAAAAACTAAATTCTTCAGACTTTTTTTCAAGAAACGTAATAACAAAAAAAAGAAGTATAAATTGTTAATTCATTCGATCGAGTTAGAAAAATATACCATAGGCACGTTGTAGGAGTGAAAAAATAAATTACAGAAACAAACAAACAAAAACTGTTAGGAACTTGACAGAAAGAAATTTGTTCAACATTAATCTTAATAGATTGTAACTTTTCACTTAACAATACAAATGTGAATCAGATTTATGATAACATTAAAGAAAATTGTGAAAACATCTTAAATGAAATTGCACCTTTAAAAACAATTACTTTCTATGAAGAAGATCTGCCTTGGTATGATGGTCAAATCAGAAGGTTGAGTAAGGAAAGAGATTTTGCTTAGAAGTTATTTAAAAGAAATGCTAATGATGTTAATTGGCATAATTATAAAAATAAACGTAATGCTGTCGTAAACACGGGGTTTCATAATGAAATATTGTTTAGCATGGGATGGTACTTTCAGCAACCACATTATTAGCTTACAATTAGCACGGAACTCAATTTTGAAATTATTATTTTAAAAAATATACGAATTTCAAGGGATCATCTATATCAAGAGAATAATTTACTCAACGCAAGATCATTATATATAGCTACCAGTGTCTAGTATAGTCATATAATCTACATACCAAACTCATTCCTACTTCTTTTTGTTTCCCCTATGACTATTAAATTTTATTTTTGGTAATTATATCACTACAGTTCATTGTCTACAGTTTCTGTTTCCATAAAATTTAAAGGCATTTCAATTCCTAGGTGAAAGTTACGTATTCAAGATAATTGAAATCTAAACACTATGATGTTATTCTACACAATTAATTGTAAATTGAACAATTAAACTCAAATATTTCATATCTCCTCTTCCCTTTCGCCGCTTCATCGGTTCAGCGGGAGTTGACCGTTTTTTTCCGCTTGAATAAAGGTTTCCATATGTTCTGTATTTCTACGCTAGCTTGGCTGAATGCGCCTGTGAATGATCTTAGCTTGATGTTATGTTGATGGGTCCAAACATGCTCTGCTTTTTCCGATTGGCCGATTTCTTCTCGCTGTGTATTTCTCTTGTGCTCAGCAATGCGGACTTTTAATGGTCTCTTAGTTTCATCGATATAGGATTTGCCGCACTCACAGGTTATCCGGTAAATACAGTTCTTGGAACTCAGTCCGCGTTTGGTGGACTGGTTTTTGTAAGGCTGCTACGGATGGTGTTTCCGGATCTTAAGCAGGTTCTGATGTACTTGGAACCAATTGTTCTTCTTCTTTCCGATAATCCTCTGATGTAGGGAAGTGCAAGCACTGGTTGTGACGGCTTATCTTCTTTGTGAGACTCCTGCTGTCTTCTAGCCAAAATCTGATCCACCATCTTCATCACTTTGGGGTAACCATTTCGTTGAAGATCTTTTTTGATGATGTCTAGTTCCTTCTTGGTACTTTCCTTCGTATTACAAAGCCTGAAAGCATGATCCACTAGAGTCTTGATGGTAGATTAATGTTGGTTGGATTCGTAATTCAGATACTATCCCCAATTTTTTGCTTATTTTTATTTCATTGTAATCTCATCTGAGGGTTTTTGCTTCCAATTTTTAATTTCATTCGTTCTTTCAGGGATTTCAAATCATATTATATCAATAGAGAGTTGTCCTGAAAATTTCGAGAAGAAAATTGGATTAGATAATTTAGGAAATAGAATTGCAAGAACGAGGTTTAAATGATGAACGAGAACGAGAATGTTTCCTATTTATTCACCAAACTCAAACACCTGTTCATGCAGCTGCACTTTAGTAAGAATAAATCATCTTTCCCTCCAACTGATTTCCTGAAGTCTTTGAGGCCCACTAGATACTCGTTAAGACATGACAAGGATTGTTCTGAATTCTTGGGGTTCTTGTTGAATACTCTTCGTGAGCAAAACAATAGCAGAATCAATACTCCTGACCACTCTGGATTGAATGATTTCGTACAGTCTATCTCGTCTTGTGTTTGTAAATCTTTTGCTGGAAAAATCCTCACTTGTTCACTTTGTAGTAAATGTTCAAGAGGTAGCAGAAACGTATGTTAATTTCTGGAACTTCAACTAACGTTTCCTAACCAGTCCGCGTGCAAAGCTTATTGTTAAATCATCTGAAAATGAAACTTTTAACAGGTGATGATCGACTGTATTGCCAAACATGCGCCAAAATAACTGACTGCTATAAGGACACAAGTATAGCTGAAGCACCAGTCAATCTAGTAATAACACTGATGATTTTCAAACATGACTCAACCTCTAACGGAAGCACCAAACTTTTACGAAGGTTCGAAATAGATGAACACTTCAATCTAGCAGACTACTATTATAATTTTCATGCAGTCATTGTTCACTGTGGTTATGGTGTTGAATTTGGTCAGTATTACGCCCCTTGATCAAAGACGAAACGGACTGGTTTAAGTTTGACGATAGTCGTATCACGAAGTGTACTGGCGATGTATTGAATTTATTGGAGCCTCTGGAGACACCCTACATTTTGTTTTATAAGAGAGAGGGGATTGGCAGATCAAGATCTTCAGATGATGTGGTGCTGCAGGTTTTCCCGGGTTTTCCTGCAGCCTGAATCAATGAAGTCGCCTTGGAGCTCTAATTAATTTTTATTGTTGTTTTATAATTTCATGATTTGTATTTTGAAAATTATTAAAGACTCATATCATATTAGACAATGGAAGTCCGAACTAGTAACATTCAATAAATGGTTTATTATATTGAAGTAATAAAATCTAGACAGGTTAATTTTCTCCTGAATATATAAACTATCGACGCTGCAAAACGTTTTCTTTGTGCCACACGATATTTCTCACCTCGCTAATCCATCCCGTACGCTCCCAATTGTTCCGTATCAATCAACCGCCCACTCGCAGCATCCGCACGGGGGCGTCGGAGTGCCCGGGAGCTAGCGCGTACGCCGCCGCCGCCGACATCTCGTCAGCTGGTCCGTCAGTTTCCGGGACTCAACAGGTCGGCAGCGGGCGGCATGATCCCTCGCTCCGCGGTTCTCGATGCCCCCTAGCCGAAACCGCGGCAGAACCGCCACCAGGTCCGATCCCATGAACGCCTGCCTGGACGCGAACGGCACCTATGTCTGTACGGCCTTCAACCCGCGCTGCTACATCATCCAAAAGGTGAGAGGACCGCTCCATATGGAGGCGGTGAGATCTGTGTTAGCGGGGGTCTTGCCCCGGAGCTTTTTGGCCTTTTGCTTGATTTTCTTGGATAGCAAGGATATTTAGTTGGTTCGAATCTCGTCGAGTAAGTTGACGCGATTTCTGGATCAATACCCTTGTTTTGATACTCGAAAACGTAACACGTGGAGCATGTTGCTGTAGTAATCGTGGAAATGCATATGGTAAATTTCACATCAAATGTATACATAACAAATAAAAGGTATTATCATTGCCTAGTAAGTCCATGAGTTGGTTAACTGTATTCTATCTCGTTTTCCGCCTTTTTTCCAATTTGTTATTTTGAGATTTTTCAAGTACCTAC